CACATCTCATTCACATTCCACACAACATCTCATACTTCACTTTTTAACATGTTTTGTCCTTAATTACACAATTTTTGAGAAACTTCCCAGAAGGTCACTCATCCCTTTATTACTCCAAGTCAAGCACGCTTAACTGTGAAGTTCTTATGAGATAAGCTATAGAAAGGCATATGTATATTGTCAGTATAGGTAGTACAAATTAATTCATTTAAGTCATCCTCAAATATACAATCTCATACTTATACTATCTTTGGATCCCTCTCATTTCGGTGTATCCGAACCGTTATAAAAATATAAAAATATATCTAATAATTATATTACTAATAATAATTATTATATTATATTTAATTAATCTTTATTTATATATACTTACTTTTATAATTAACAATCTACTTATTTCTATTTAAAATTAATATAATGATACAATTTAAATTATCTATTATAAATTTAAAATTTTAAATAATAATTTTTATATTTTAAAATGAGAAGGGTTATAATAACACTGATATAACTTTTACTAAGTATTACATTGTTCAATAACTTTATATTAAATGTGAATTTTGTAAATCCAACCGTTAAATTGAAAGTTCATATCACTTTATATGTTTATATCAAGTTTTGTTAAAATTGAACAACAACTTGAAGGTAATCAAAGTGTCTAAGAACAAAGCATCTACTTGTGAGTGATTCTAAATTTCTAATGGTGGTGTGCGAAATGCAACTGCACAGCGTTCTGAAGCATAAACCCTAAACCTTACGTACCATATCCGATTGAGAATTAGAAATGAATGGGGAGGTATGTCAAGAATTAAGTGCATGCACAACAATTGCATAATAAAATAAATTTTTATTCCCACGATTCCATGAAATAGAGTAATCAAGTACCAGATGTTACAGCAAGAAGAGGAAGTGCTTATAACGATTGCATATTCGTGTTTTTGGATTGCTGTTGGAAAAGTTCAAACTATGATTTGGTAAAAGCTTGTCTATGATTGATTAGGGGTGGGCAAAATGAACTGAATTTATAAAAATTATACTGAACTTAAAAGTAATTTTCATGAACTGAACTAAACTAAATATTAGTTGAGACGAACTGAACTGAACTATTTTTTTGTATCATTGAACTGAACTTAACTATATTATAAAAACTTGAACTGAACTGCAATTTAAACTGCACTAAACTGTTATGATATTTTGAATTGAACAATTTTGACTCATTGATTTATCAAAATAGGGCACATTTGCCAACTTTACTTTATTTTTCATTTTATTTAAATTTTTCAAAGAAAAAAATATAAAAGTAAGTCAAACAAACTTAGTGAATTTTAAGCCTAAAAATAAGTAGTCTAACATAACTCAATTGATCCGTTAGTTCGACAAAATTGATATAATTTTTTTTTCATCATTTTTTTTCTAAAGTTTTGGTTATTAATCTATCGAGTTAATCCATTAAGACATAACATGTTAGACACATTTAATTTTTATCCTTTTATAAAAATAGTTTAATTTTTATAATTCAGTTTAGTTTTATAGTTCAGTACAGTTAACTTTTCAACAGTTCAGTTTAGTTTTTTTTTAAACAGTTCAGTTTTTTTACAAACAGTTCAGCTTTTTATAATACAGTTCAGTTCATCACCAGTTCAGTTTAGTTCAGTTTTTTTTTGCCCGTCCCATTGATAACTTTTATCCAATTCATGGTTTAAAGGTTTCCAACTAAAATCCTAGAATTTGACTGTGGCAAGGTCATTGTCAGAATTAAAAGGCAAAATCTTGAATATCATGAAAAAATAGAAAAAGGCTCTATAAAGAACTACTCCATGTTAACTTTAATTACTCTACACTGAAATTACTTCTACTACCTATTTTGGAAAGAAATGATAATAAGCAACCTACTAGATTAGATAAGAGATATTCATTTTATTGAAAAGTATTTAATACTCGCATTAAACGAAGCAATGATAATCTCTCTCCTTAAGGATCAATAGTGAAGACAGATGAAACAAATCATAGGCAACTTGCGAGTTCAACTCAAATTGTTACAATGGTCATCTTTTCTAAAGCTACTATATAAGGATCAATCCCTCAAGAAAGACACAGAAAAACATAGAGTAGAAACTCGCATACAAAGAAGCACTCACTATGAATTATATATTTCTTTGTAGATTACTTGTACATTCATTGTCGGTTACAACACATCTAGAAGAGACGAAACAACCTTATAATCTTTTGTAACCTTTGTTGTAAGGGTTGAGCCTAAAGAAGCTTGTTGTTAAAAGAATACTTTGTGTTGAGCCTGAAGAGGCTTGTTTGAAAGAATACTTGATGCTAAGCATGGAGAAGCTTGTTGTTCAAAGAATACTTGGGTAGTTGTTTCAAAAGGAAAGTTAAAGACTATTTAGGGTTGAGCCAGAAATGGCTTGTTGAAAGAATACTTGTATCTTGCTTAAAAGATAGTTGAACTCAATCTAGTTAGATTCAAAACTGGACGTAGTCTTAATGGTTGAGACGAACCAGTATAAAACTTCTAGTGTTTCATGTGACTCTTCTTCGATGCTTCGTTTGATTAGCTATTTTTTTTTCGCTGCATAAACATGAGTTTTTGATACACATTATTCAACAACTTTTATAGTGTGTCTTTTCTCCACAACTCTCGAGTTTGATTTTTGTCAATATATTTTACTATTTTATTCTTAATAAATATACTAATAGAAAAATGTTGAAATATAAAAAAAAGACTCCCAAACACTCACAATCTTAATAAAGTATACACGAAATACAAATATATTATTGTGATAGATTTAAGGCTGACAATTAATTAAGATGTTGTTGGATCGAATGCTTACCACTATGTCAAAAGCGGTATAACAATCCAAGTTTCACGTATCTCGACTATGACTTGACCCATCTCAATAATTACTCTCGTTGGGAATTGAACACCTGACCTTGACTCTAATACCATTTGTTTGATCAACTACTTACTATTAGGCTAAAAGCTATAATTGATAATTAGGACGCAACTCTTTTTACTTAATCGTAGCAACCCAAATGTAATGTGTCTTGACTGTGACTCAACCCACCTAGGCTTCTGCCACGGGATAATTGATGCCACCTAGCAACCAAATGTGAATAACAACAATTTAAGGCTCACAATCATCTTTTGGTTACCAATTTTTTAAGTGTGTAAACTTGAACTTAAAACCCATATACCAAATCAAGTTTCTTATCGCAGTGATTGTAATGCCTCTCTTAAGACATAGAGGGTCGACTTGGTATTCTCAAGTTCAACTTTCTATTTATATATTTTATTATTTTATTTTTAAGAAATATATTGATATAAAAACATTGCAACATATAAAAAAAACACTAAACACTTGAAGTCTTAATAAAAGTATATGCAAAAATAAAAATATATTATTGTTTTAGAGATTAATATATATATATATATATTTTTTTTGTATTATAAAAAAATTGTAACATATATTTGAACTAAAAATAAATATACACATATATTTAGTGTAAAAATAAACTAAATCAAATTACTTTATGTATATTTAAGAGCGTTTCTTTATATTTTTAAAGTTTGAGATGAGTACTTGTGAGTACGAATATCATGATATCCATCACACTCTGATATTACGTAAGTAATCATTTTATTATTTATTTAAAATTCAAAGTGAATTTACTACATATATATGAGTATATTTTTTTTTTTATCATCCCTAATAATATAGTTTACACCTAAGATCTTGTGGATAATATTTCAATTCTTAGCACAATACTGACTTTACTAATTTTGTTTTATTATTTTTTTAATCTATATAATTTTGTAAAATTTATATTTTAATCTTTATAATAATAGATGACGAAAAATAAAAGATAAATAAAAATAATATGTATAAAGATAAAAATAAAATATTTTTAATTATAATAATTAAAAGATTGATTTTATGAAATTATAGCAAGAATAATGATAATTCAATCTAAATTAGTTATACATTTTTTTAATTATTTTTCTAATTTTAGTTTTTAAAATTTTGTCTTACATACATTTTGTCCTACTCGCCTCTTTCATGTACTTTTATTATTTTTAATTTTTTTTACTTAAACTCAATGAGATCAGTGTCTGACACAAAGAAAGACAAACTTGCTGTACAAGGGTGCTTCTGGTTCTGGACATGTGCATTAGCGTCCATTTTCTAATTCAAACCAACAAATTAGACGGTAACCAATTTTGGTAAGTTGAGTTCTTTTAATAAACCTTTGACACTGTTGGAGATTCTAAGAGACACCATTTGTAACCTTTTCGCGTTCCATTGAATCAAATCAAACATGGATGAGTCAATGACGAACATCATGGAGGTGAGGGAAGATTTCATGGTTTCACCTATTGGTGACAGTAAACCATATTTGAGAACTGCTTATTTTCTCAAACCCCTAGCAAAGTCCCTTGATGGAGCAGTTTCTGGGGTCCTTTCATCTTCTGTGTCCATGCCACTGCCATCAGTGTTTGAACCAAAGGTGTGGCCTTTGGTGATCCACTCCATCGGTTGGCGCTGCCCAATGAAGAAGTGGGTTGAATGGGTGGATGCCCTTCAAGTCAAGTATGAGTCATTGTGGAAGAAAGTTGGCATCTTTGAAGCCATCAAGAGCACCAAGTGTTCCATAGTGAACCATCAAAACTTGTGTTATGGGGTTGCTGAGAAGTGGTGTCCTGAGACAAACACCTTTTTGTTTCCATGGGGTGAGGCAACAATCACATTGGAGGATGTGATGGTCTTGGGAGGTTACCCTATTGTTGGTGATCCTATCTTCACCCCACTTCAAAGCCAGGAAATGAGAGAGGTGGAGAAGAAGCTGATTCATGCAAGACAAGAGCCTTGGAGGAGGAAAAAAGGTAAGGCTTCTTTATCTGCATGGATTGATCTTTTTGTCAATAGTGGTAGTGAAATTGAGCATGAAGCATTTCTTGCAACTTGGTTGACAATGGTTGGTTTTTCCACCAATGGTTTGGTGAGTAGGTTTGTTTTCCCTATTGCTATTCATCTTGCTAGAGGGAATCCTGTTGCTTTGGGACCAGCAGTTTTGGCTAGCATATATACGGATTTGAGTTTGCTTAAGAAAGCAATAGTTGGTGTGACTGGTGATAACTTGGAATCTGAGGTAACTCTTAAGTCACCCTTTTACTTGGTACAAATTTGGGTGTGGGAGAGGTTCAAAAACTTGCAACCACAGCCCAGGTTGGTTGGTTTCAAAGACCCTGTGCTGTTTAGGTGGCACAAGGTTAGGCCCTTGAAAATTTACGATGTGAGATTGGCGCTGGACTCGGCTACAGAGCATTTTCGATGGCGCCCTTACGTTCAATATGCTGGTAAGTTCAAGTTGTTTTATCCTGAAAATGAAACTTTGGTACCATTTGAGACGGATTTGGATACCGAACAAATCTCTTTTGTTACATGCATGAGAGTTTCTGCGCTTGTTGGAATTGAGTCTACTATAAAGCAGTACCTGCCACATAGAGTTGCTATGCAATTTGGAATGGATCAAGATGTTCCTGATTGTGTTCCTGGATTCTATGGAACTGAAGCCATTACTTGGAAAAATTACTGCAGGCCCATATCTTGTAGGAGTTTGTATTTTCCTGCTAGGCTTTTTGAAGGAGATGTTACCACACGGTATGCAAAGTGGTGGAAGCAATCAGTACTGAGTTATCAGGATTTTGCAAAGAATATTGTGCACCAAGAGAGAAATCCAAGGCCTCATTTACCAAAAGCAAATACAAATGGTAATGATGCTGATGTTCCTCCTGGTTTTCCTCCCAAACTTGTTAGAACTGTATATTTTGGAAAATCTGGTGGTGATGATTCAAATGCTAGGAAAGGTAATATTGATGATGATGTTCCAACAAAAATTCTTTCAAAACAATGCACTCCGACTCCTTGCATTTCTGACGAGAAATTTAAGCATGTCTTGGAAGAGAATAAGTGTGGTGACATGGCTCAGAGTTCAGTTAAAGGAAAAACATATCAATGTAGGAGTTTGTCCAACGCAAGTTCTTCATCCGCTACTGCATATTATGAAAATGTTAAAAGGATATCACCACTCACAAAATTGGTTGTGAATGATGTCATTGAACCATTGATGGGGGGTATGGAGGAAGATTTTGAAGATGCAAATGGGAGCAATGAATCATGGATGTCAAGTGAGGGAGTAAGCCTATCTGGTCCCCAAGGTGAAAGCTATAGCTGTGCATCTGGAACAAAAGTAATGGATCTTGAACAGAGAATCAACAGACTGGAGACAGTGATTAAAAAATTGAAGATAGCAAAATTTGGTCACTGTTGAATAATTTATAGCCTATCAAACCTAAAACTTACCACTTGTTAACATATTTTACTTATTTCTTATACTAGCAAAATTACATGACATGAATGTTCAGAAAAAACAAATATAACATGATCTTGTGGGATCTTAGTGCTGGTACATTGTCTTGGTTCCGCAGCTTTACTTAGAAACTTGTTTATCAATTTGGTATCTAATTTGTAGAAATACAGCTTACTATTTGGATATTTGCTTGTAGATGTCCAAGGAATGCTAGCAACACTTTCTTTCAATAACTTTTTGTTATTTACTGAAGTTCTTGTTAGACCCTCTTAGTGCATCTTTGAATTTGTGTTGCTTTGTTTTAAACATAGATTTGTAATTTTGAACTAAATTTAGGCAATTTTTAGTTCGTGTGGTTTTGCATTTGACCCTCTCTCCTGCATGATTCTAATGCCAAACTTGAATGTGGGAGGAAGCTAGTGGCTTCTTTGTTTTGCAATGTGTTCATCCAATTTAATGCTTCTCAACTGTTTTTTTTCTTCCCATTCCCATTTTCTACCCTCATTTCATATCTTGCATGATGCTCATATCTGACTTGGCTTCACTTTCTCCTCCTTTCTCACATTTTTTTCCCCTTCTTCTTCTCTTGCTTCTTGGTTCTTTAAATCTGAAAATTTTCCTTTGCCAGTGTTTCATAAACTGGCTGGTTCAGATCAACAAGAATCACTACATTGTGCTTTTGTGTTCTGTTAATTTAGTGTCAATTTTATCGTCTAAATTTATGTAAACTGTAGTGCAAGTTTCATTGTCTAAATTACTTTGGAAAACAGATGCATTCAGAAACTGTTATTGTTAGTTTTAGTTTTAGCTTTGATCTATGCTGTTTTACCTTCCAATTCATGGTTTAGCCTTGCTGTTGTTATAGATGCATCTGAAGGAAGAAAAAGTGGCCTGTGCAGATAAACATAATTCGGTACCAATTTAGAATTTTAGGCTGAAAAAACTTATATCTGAATTTAGAAGATGAAATATATATCTCTGGATAATGGGAAAGTTCTTGTTAATCTAGCCAAGTGCACTCTGTTAGAATGTAATTAAGATGTTAAGTAATTAACTATACGATGCAAATACTCATTGCATGGTAGAATGTTTCTACTTAAGGACTAAACTGTTGTGTGATGTTTTCAGCATGTTCGGAGCTGGAGGTAGATGTTAAAGGGACCAAGTATAAAAATTAAAAGATTTTTTTTTGTTCTTTTAAAATTTGTCAAATTTGTTTTGTTCTAAAAAATTTTGTCTGGATTTGGTCTCTCAAGATATAAAATGTTTTTTTTTTTTTATCAAGTGTTTAATTCCAATGAAACATAATTGACGAGACTGACAGAATTATGTTAGCGTTACACACGTGGACATTTTTTGTTGACATGACTAGCACGTGGCAATTTTATTTTGTCCTCAAATTTTTTTAAAAAATTAATTTTAGTTCATGTAAAATTTAAAGTTTGACTTTAGTTTTTGTAAAATTCAAAGTTTGATTTTTGTCTCTAATTTTAAGTTTCATTAAATGATATTTTCGCCTCACAACATCACACTTCAAATCACTATGTAACACGATTTCAAAATCTTACAAATACTCTATGTAACACGCTTCAATAATTAGCAACTAGCAACATTTAACAATTATAGCTCTAAATCAATAACTTTTGCAAAAATATTTTTCTAAAGAAATATGATCTGAACATTGTAACTAAGTTAGTTATAGAAGGGTGTTAAGGAACATGTATAACAGGTTTTAATGTCTAATTTGGATATAGGTCATTTGTCCATTATACAAGATTATAGTTCCACTTACACTTTTGCTGTTAATCTATGATAAAAGTTTGATTTTTTTTAAAACTGGATTAATTATTAATTGATAAAGACAATTATCCAAGGTTTAATGATCTAATCTTTGATAAATTCATGATTAAATATGTATAATTAAACATTTAATACATTAAGCAATATAAACAAAAATAATATAATATTCATAATTTCATAAACACAAGAAGACAAAAATAAAAAAGAATTACTTGAAACCAAAGGTGATGTGAATCTGATATTTAATAAAATGGACTTAATTTTATCTGAGTAATTATTTTTTTTATCTTTACCCAAAAAAGAAAAAGTCCCCTTTGTAAAAATATTTTCTAATTTTAGTGGAATTCAACGTAAAAAAGAGACCTTACATTCCACATGATTTGCACAATGCCATAGGCTCCCTTCCACACAAACATTTATACGCAATATTCAGTTTTTGACAACCACTCTCCTTCATGCAAGAAGCATTTCTCCCTAGAGAATCCAAACTCAAACACAATATATTATATATTATAAGTTACGTGAAAAAAATGTTAATCTTATACACTATATTGTACATCAAAAGAGTGTTAATCTTGATTATATGATCATACATTAATGGTATATTGATGTGTGATATTAGGATTGATTTTACATTTTAAAAAAATAATGTAATAATTTACATTGGTTCTTCTTCTCACGTATATGTTGTTTGGTGAGTGCATTGTTTTGTTGTCTGTGAAGGAGAAAATGTACAAGACACAGTTGCAAGAGCTATGCCACAAGAGAAGGTGGGGTTTGCCAAAGTACTCTGCCATGAAAGATGGTCCAGATCACATGCCAAGCTTTAAGGCTTCTGTTCATGTCAATGGTGCCACCTTCACTTCTTTGGGTGCCTTTACTTCCCTTAAGGAAGCTCATAACCAAGCAGCTATGCATGCTTTCCTCAATTTCTCTTCTGGTACCCCACCTTCTTTCCCTTTCGGTTCTCTTTGTTTCCTTGGAAACTTGCTTTCTTTAATGCTTTTTTCTTTATCCTGATGATGGCCTTGAGGTTGGGAATTATGGTTTTGTGAAGTGATTACTGGGTAGTCTGTTTGATTCCTTGCATTGTCGTGTTTGTGTTCATATAGAATCATAGCCGATTAGAAGTACGTAAGGATAAACTTCTTCAGAAGTACTTATAAAAAAGAAAAATAAGAAGGCAAAATGAAATAAGTTTCTACATAGTCAAAATTACCTTATGTATAAACTAATTTATAAAAGTTTTCTCCTATTAACTTCTCCAAAATCTTATTTTTAACTCATGTATAAGCGAGTTTTAACTTATGTAGAAACTTATTTCAATTTTCATATGATTGTTGCAAGTGACCATTTTCCTTTTCCATTCCAACGTCTATGTAACAACATCAATCAATTAATTCCTCCAGATATGGATCATTTTTGCAAAAACCAGCTTCATAACAATGCTCCAAAGAACAACCTTGACCCACCTGAATTTACATGTAAAATTGAGGACCTGCCTTCTGACAGTCACTATAAGGCCACAGTCCAAGTTAATGTGCAATCTTCTGAAAGCCCTGCATTTTTCAACACAGCAAAAGAGGTAGAACAGGCTGCTGCACAACTTGATTTAATGCCATTGTCACCTGACATCTTTGAGAAGGCAAGTATCCTTGTAATTTCTGACATGGTTCCTGATTAACATTTTGGATGCTAGGGGTAGAATGTTAGAGAAAAAAAAAAATTAGGGACTATAGAGGTTTCAAGTGCCAACAAGGAATTAAATTGGATTACATAAGTATTTCTTAAGGAGGTGGTATAGTTTTTAAACTTTCAATGAACAAGAAACACTTGTTACAAACAAAAGGCATAGCTAAAGTAATATCCAGCTTAGTTAAGTTGGCAAATTCCTAATGTCTCAGTAGATTTTATTTTTATCTTTTATTCATGTGTTCTGTGTTCTGTCTGCACTAAAAATATCTACAATTGAATGTGTATTTGTATCCTCCTTATTCAGGGCGACTCTGATTCATTCATGACTTCACTGCTGAAATTAACTGAGAGAGAAGGCTTTTGCAAACCAACATGTAAAACTATGCAGGCTGGTTCTCCTCACATGCCAACTTTCTTCTCTACTGTGGAAATAGAAGGTGTGGAATTTCATGGAAAGGGAAGTAGATCCATGCAACAGGCAGAAGAGGATGCTGCAAAGATTGCTTACATTGCATTAAAAGGGTGTAAGTTGATTGTACCTCTTCAATGGTGCACATATCCAATTTTTCTTTCATGCATGAGAACCACTTTGTGGAAATTTTGATATAGCACCATACACTTGACCTCTATTCTTGTGTATCTTGAATGACTTGAACATTGTCTTTTCTATCCTTGTATATATGTACACATACTAAGAAGCATGACAATATTTTGAATACTGCTTTGAACATTGTGTTGAGCTAACTACTTGTGAATGGATGTTAGAAGATAACATAAACATATGATGTGCCAATTTGAATAAACTTGTCAACAAAAACTTATAGGAGAAGAAAATAAAATGAATCAAGGGATGATCTAGAAGCTAGTGAAAACATGCCCTATGATCCAGTTTATGACTTCCAGGGTAGCAGAGGAACCTCTACTTAGAGAATAGAGGTTTTCCATTTCATATAAGCTAATGTGCAAGTAGGTAAGAAACTAAGCATGTCACAGGCAAAAAGAATTAGATGCATGAAGTTGTTGGATGAACGTATTAGATCAAATTCTACATTTTTGTGAAGACCTAGTATGAATTTTACAATGATTAAATAATCTTTTGGAGACTCTCCATTAATTCTCTCTACTTTTCACATTCCTGC